CTACCATCTGAATTAGTCAGAAAAATGTCCTTAGTCCTTGTCTCCCACATCCCAGCTGCTCTGGGTATGGTATATTTATTCTTTGCTGTTGTGGCTTTTGCACAGACACTGAAATCTTCATGGAAGAAGAAAATTACACAGTTGTGTGCTGATGAAGACATAGGAGAGAGGGCAAGTCCCCTGTTACACATACTACTAATACAATGTGGGACTGCACAAGCAGAAGGTGTCTGATACCTACTCAGGGATAAAATGTCACAAACAGGGCATCACAGAACTGTCAAATGGAGAAGTGGAGGTGCTGAGACTCTAGTTGGTGCCACCCTCACCATGTGAACTCAGCTGTTCACAGTTCTGAGAGTGCTTTGTTTATACAAACACTTTCATCTTCTTGACTTCTGGTAGAAGAATTTTCAAGAACCTGTTTACTCTTTACAATACAGGAAAAAAAGCTCTAGCAATTCTTCTGCTACACGTGTTAAGTTGCAGTTATACTGAATTCCAATGGAGAAATCAAATCATCAGCCTGTGTTTAAAATTCTGGTTCTACCTTGAGTGTGGCTATTATCATATCCTTTCTTCTTGCTCTCACACACAGCAGGAGTCTTTTACAGTCCATTTCACTACAGCATCTATTTCACTACAACATCCAGGAGAAAGCTGACCTCCTGATCTTATTTAAACTGTGCTCTTCAGCAACACTCTACTCATTTCGCTGGTATATGAAATGGGCAGCAAGCTGCACACACAGCCCGCATCCTTATGGAAGATTTAGGATTGTACTATTTCCCTGCATAGTCCTGGCAACTTCAGCCCATAAATGTGCAATGACAGGATCATTTTAGGAACCTTTATTTTATATGTTCCCACAAGATATGGCAGCCATAAGAATCTGCAGAGGAGTCCTAAGAGAACAGCCTGTGACGTGAATGACTTCAGACAGCATTTTATCTCGTGTCAGAGCAGAGGAGGTTGTGCAAACACACCACTACCAGCACTGCTGGCGCAATTGCAACAGGTCACTTGATAAGAAATGCATTTTTGCTGTTCATCAGTCATTGAATTCTTCTAATATAAATGTGAGCTCACTGCTGATTACAAATAGATAAATGAAATATTGAAGAAAATGTTTCTCTCAGAGAAATGGGCTAATGGACTTGTAGTTTTCAGGAATACAATGAACTTGTCCAGAAAGCGTTTGTTTGTTTGTTTTTTGGGGAGGGATCATGGGAGGACAGCTGGATACTCCAGAGCACAGTCTGATTTTTGTTTGAATATACAGGTAGTGATGAACACAAACATGAATGTTAGCTTGTGGTTATAACAGGATCTGATTTGTCTGTGCTTCCAATGCTCTTTATGTGTCTAGAAAGATTTTTATTTTTTAATTTTTTCCCAGACTTGAGAAAAAGTAAATTTACTACCCCTCTTTGCTTTTTTTCCCCTTTCCTTCTCTTTTCTATTTTGTAATCATAGAATCATAGAGTAGATTGGGTTGGAAAAGACCTCTAAGATCATCAAGTCCAACCCCTGATCCAACTCCAATTTCTATAGCATGGCACTATAGGTCACATCCAATCTCTTTTTAAAAACCTCCAGGGATGGTGAATCCACCACCTCTCTGGGTAGGCCGTTCCAATACCTGATTACCCTCTCTGTAAAGAATTTCTTCCTAACATCTAACGTATTTTGTAATCTTCAATGCTGTTTGATTTGTTTTTCTTCCCAGACAGAAAAATTAGAGTTTTCATCTAGACAGAAGATCTTTACTCTTTCAGAAGACAGTTATTTAAAGCAGAACCTTGGGACAACATTTATCAGTGTTATGTGCAGTACTCACCTTGTTTACATACAGTCAAAACTCTCTTGTTCCTTACCTGTCACTTACGACTAGAGTAAAATATGGTCTTTCTCAGTGAGTGTTTACAGCCTGATATAAAACACTGATTACAGTAATGCTGTAAAATGCATCTTCCTCTGTACAACTTTAGACTGCTGCCACCATGCACAGACATGGCTGCAAAGGCTTCTGATTTAAATTCTCTCCACTGTATATGAGCCGAGAACTGCTGCCTGGATGCCTGGAAAACCTCATGGATACAGGGAATGCCATCCTGACTGAGTACTCTCTTATGGTCAACTCGTGCAGTACTTAAATTACAGCCATCACAAGGTTATATTTTGAGTCTGATTTATAGGCTAGGCCTATTTTTTTGGAACATCCACTGTATATGGACAGTTTTGTTTCAAGGAAGCTAGGGTGAGATGGATGGATATAGCAGATTAATCCCTCAGTTGAATTTTTATAATGTTGGATTTTTTGTGTACTTGAAAACAAACAAACTGCCCTTAATTATTGTTTCCTTAACAAACAAAGTGGTTTAGAGGTACAGTGTATCAAAGCTGCTGTTGAGAAGGCTCTGATTTGTAATAGCACAAGAAGGCAGGATGGCAAATAAAGCTGTTTGCTTTCAACAGCATGAAAATTATTGTAGAGATAAGGGGCAAGACATTGAGAAGGGTGTTGGGAAACAGTGAATTGTAGTGTCATTCTTAAGAACAGAAAGCTGTATTTTCAGAGGTATCTACTGAAGAACTAGAGAAGACGTTATCTTCTTTTGTCTTTATACAGGTGTATGCTGAAGACAAGCAGAAAGATTAACTTGTTTAGGCCAAATCATCCCCTGTTGCAGATTTTACTGATTTAACCATTCCAAGTGAGTTGTGCAGATTTACACCAGCGTGGGTTTGGGCCTTAGTCTTACCTCTCTATTTTTTTCTCAAATAAGTACTCTATAATTAGACAACAGACTTGAAAGATAAGTCAGGAAAACACACCAGAATATTACTGCCCTTGTTAGAATGATTTGTATTTTGCCTCTCAGGGAAATTTGGGAGGAAAATGTAGCAAATGAAAAAAGTAAAGTAATTACTGTATTATTAAAAAAAACAGCAAGCACCCTAAAACCAGCAGCTGGATTCCTATTAAAAATCAAAGATGTTTTGGAGTTGGATGTGAAGCTCTAAAAACTATTATGCAAAGGGCATCACAGAACTGTAAAATGGAGAAGTGTAAATCTTAAGGCCAGTGTAGGATGACAGCTTAGTCAATAGCAGGTGAAAAATCAAAATGAAAATGCTGTGAACTTCACAGTGAGGCAAAATAATAACATACATTTATCTAGCACTTAACATTTCTAAGTTGTATGGCCATAAAATAATGCAGAAAGTTGCATTGATCTTGGATGCATGGAAAGGAAGAAAGGCCATACTATATTTCTAGTCTCTGCATCTATGAACAAGCTGATGTTAGACTGGAGGGCTGCATTAGAGAAACACTGTGAGTAAGGGATTATGGATATTTTTAAAAAGTAAGAGGGAATGAGTGCTTTCTCTCTGGATTTAATAAAAAATAAAATACTAGGAGTTAGATTGAGCCCTTGGAAAACAAAATAATTGGTATTTGAGACTGAAATGGAGTTAAGTGGAATGTTTTAAGAGAATATATTGGTAAACAACAGAATATGTCTTTCTGAATTAAAAATTAACTATGCTACTAAAAATTTTTTTAAAGATATTTAAGGAATACCCTGGTGAAATGCGCCCATCATCCTGAGATACTCAGTGTGTGTTTGCCCACCAGCCCCCTCCTACCAGGGCCCCCCTGTGCCCTGTTGTGGGGGGCACAAGGCAAGCAGGGACAGGCAAAACTGGCCTTCTTCATCAGCATCTGTGGAACAGAAGCTGGAAGCCAGGAGTCAAAATGTCCGCTGCCTGCACTGTATTATGGCTCATGTACTTATATGCAGACTTGATTGTGGGGGGAAAAAATCTGAACAAAATGGTGATGATCTATCCAAGTAATTAGAGATGTGGCTGATCTCCCTGGGGCTAATTCTGTATATCAAGTTCATTGTATGCCCTGAGGGTTTCCTTAATACAGTCAGAAAGTTAATTCACTCTTAAACTTGAGAAATAAATCTAGGTAAAAGCACAGTAATTGGCAGCTCTTAGATTTGACTTGCTTTCTGACATTGCCAGCTGCCTTCACTACAGGAACATGGACGAAGGCAAGACCCAAGTTGCCAGAAAAGGGACTATGTTCAGAGGGCTCTGTGGCGAATTTGTACATTTGCAGCCACAGACAAATTTATATTTGTAGTTGCCAAATGTGAGGGCTTTTCATAAGTGCCATCTGCGGAATGAAAGGCAATCCAGGCTAAAATGTGCAGAGTGGCAAATATTAGAAAATATGGCTATTATAAAAAGTGATAAGAACTTTATGCAAATGTTCCATCTCTAGTGGAAGGGCCGGATTCCAATATCATGCATGATGCACAGGAACAGATTTTTCCTAGGTATGCCGGGATGCCCACGCTGTTCCTGAGATTAGAATCTGTCCCAAAAAAATGGATTATTGGGATATGAAAGAGCCAATGATGAGGAAAATGAGATTTTACTGAGCTGTTTGGTTGGGTTTTTTTTCATACTCTGTGAGAGTTGGCTTTAAGCATAATTCTTCATCTTTGTAATTCATTAGGAAAATTGGCAGTAAAAATAACAACAAAATGTAAAAACTAATTTTCCTCTTTAAGAAATTCACATCATCAAATTAGGACAGAGAAGTGATCTCATTACACCCAGTTGCTCAGAGCAACTGGCAAATTTTGACTCTGTGAAGCCTTACCTGAAGCAAACAACAGTGACTCCATTACCAGGGAATTCCCCTGGCGGGGGTGTTATCAGGGACTGGTAGCAGAGCAGTTCTGGTGGGGAGGAGGTTGCGTGCAGGTTAATTTACTCTGCAAATCCTCTTATCAGCATATCTTTATTTATTAAAATCACGAAATTACTATCTTTATTTCCCTTCCTCTATCCAAATACCGTCTTTTGTTCTGGTCTCTTTGGGGAGGAGGTAAATGGGATTTGGATACAAGCCATAATTATTCTGGGAAAATCACCCTGCAGCATTGATTTATATGCAAGATCTTGCCTTGCAGCAGCTTGACAGCTACACAAGACTGAGAAGGCAAAGGCTACAGAGCGGAAGGCTCTTAAATGAAATACCAGTGGTCCTCACCTCTTGTCTTCAGTTCTCAGTGACCCAGGTTTAGCAAGAGAAGTTGGTACAGCTATTTCATTCTCATCTCCAGAGTAACCCAGCACAGGCCAGGTAAGAAAATCTCCTTGGATAGGGGATGTTTGATTCTCTAACATTATGGGATGGTGAGGGGTGCAGTGAACCGAGCTCCCATTCACTGCCCAGGGGCAGAGCTGAAGGAGCCCTGCAAACATTCCAGAGTTAGAAAGCCCCTCATGACTTTAGACTCCTTCAGCATTGAGCAGCAGCTGCAGCAGGTTTCCATGGTTTTGGATTAAGAAAAGCTTTCTTGGAATGCTGAGGGGTATCTGATGTTTGGAAGTGCAGAGCGTTCCTAATGACTTCCATGGAAATACAATATCAATTGGTTCTGAAAATTAGGCCCCTGGTTTAAATGGCTAGATATGGAAGGAAAGGACCAAACCCCTCAAAGTGTTTTGTTGGATCATTATGGTATGTTGTGAACAATAACTGATCCCCAGTTTTGCCTACACAAGGCTGGAGCCACGCTGCCTCTGACGACTGCCTGGAGCTGCAAACCACCAAGCTCCCTCTGGCAGCAGTCCTCAGAGCAGCAATTAAGGAATCCTCCTGGTGATGCTTTGCCATCATTGTGAATACATTGTGAAAATCTTTTAAACCACAGTGACAAGTTTTGAAGTCATGGGGCAATAAGGACTGGAGGAGTCAGTGCTTCACTCATCCCATCCAATCACCAGGAGCAGGATCTTTTCCAGGAACAAGTTCCTCTTCTGTTCCTTCTACCTTTCTCTGTGGCCCTGATTTGCCTTTTATCTCCTGAGCAGCAGAGCCTGGTTTTCTCTGCACCAGCAGGAAGCGTCCTCTCTCTTCATCAAGAGAGAGGTTCTCCCTCTTTTCATCCAGGCAAATTTCTACCAAAGGAACAAACAAAAATGATAATAATAAAAGCTTGGAGATTAGTTAAAAGCATCTCAGATTTTAGTAACCCAAGTATTGGCCTTCTGTTTTCCAAGCTTTTTTCCTAGATGACAGTGATATTTGAGTGTCACATAATTACAGCAATTGGGTTATTTTCAACTAGAAAAAAATATTTAGTCTTTATTTTATACTTGAAAATTATTACAACTTTTTTTTAAAATCTTCCCATAATTCAGGTGAGGGATGCAAGTGTGATACTAAATTGCTAGGTGGAAAGCTTATAACAGGAAGCAGTAAAACAGCCTGACTTTATTCTTTTAAAAGAAAGAAAGGAATATCACAAATTGAATCCGAAGGGGTAAAAAATCCTGCTGAAATCAAGCTCTTATTGATTGGCCAAACAGCAAATTGCACACTCAAAACTGTCAGAAAATAATTTCAGGCTAACACAAATTCATTGAAAACATCTGCTCCTCTAATTAGCATACTAGGTCTTTATCATCCTTACTTGTTTGAAATTCCAGGCTGCTTTATTACAACAGGAGGTATTGTAGCAGCTGTCATTATTGATTTTTTAAAAATAGAATATCAAATCTGAATATTTTTCTGTGTTTTAGAGTAAAAATAAAAAGATAATAACAATAAAATTAGAAGTGTTATTAGGTTATACATCAGGAACAACACAAAGTACAAATCTACAACAAAAGTTTCATCTAATAATGAAATTTCAATCTCTTTTCTAGCTCTTAATATTTGAAAAGTATCCATGAACTCCTCCAATTCCTCTTTTAATGGGGCATTTTGGAAAACGTTTTGTTTGATTCTCAGAGTGTTTTTCACGCTGCCTGTGAGACGCAAATCCCAGAGCCTAGCCTGTTAAACAGCAGTCTCTGTTTACTGTGAAATCCTGCCTTGGTGATAAACATATCTCTTGGTGAACTGTCACTGTGAACAGAGCAGGGACATGTGACACCACAGCGAGAGTGTAGCCAGCTCAATCCCTTCTATTTTGTCCTGCATATTATTCTTCTGGATTGTATCAAGCTCTAGACTCTGGCTTTTAGCATTTCACCTATTTGCTACTCTTGAACAGTGGCAAACATGGACACTTTTGACTAAAGGTGAAAGCAACTTTGCAAACGGAGATATGAAGTTATACCATTTAGGGCTGCACAGCCATGTCTCAGCTGGGACAGTGAGGAATGTAATGGTGGCTACACAGGGGAAAAAAATGTGTCTCTGCTGAACCCAGACCTCTGCCACCATCTCAAAAAACCTCACTGTGGACAAAGTGAGCTGAGCCAGGGAGTTATGAAATCTGCATCATCTCCAGTGATGACTGAGTTTTTATTTCTGTAGGCAAGTCATTTAACTCTCTGGATCAAACTCTCCTTTGTTGTGAACCCACAAAACTTCATGTGTTCCATTGTACCTCTGCCAGGTGAGGAACTTATCCAAATTCTGTCTTTGGAATATGTCAAGCTGGTGAATGAATTATCCCTCTAATACTATAGGTTCACACGATGTTTTTGACTTCAGAAATTAAAACCTGCTACCAAGCTGATAAAAATGGCTCCTTGACTCCCATGCTACTGCTTTTAAGAATAATGCCAATTTAATATTGAGTAGGGATATGTCACTGTGACTCTAAATGAGTGGACATGAGAAAAATATTATTATCAGTAAGCACAAAGATATGTTCCACCATTGTTAACAGTCTGGCTACATTTATGACTGTTTCCTTTCACACCTCTGTCAGGGACATAATTACAAAAACTTTCCATGCTAGGTATTCCGTTGTGGGGTTTTTTTCTCTTTCTCTAGGCTTGCATAGATTTTAGGCTACTTCCCTTAAAAGAAAAATTTATTCAAGGCAACATATTCCTTTAGTTTGAGCCACATCTATTCTGGTAAGAAAATTTGTGCTTAATGGCTTCTCTTGTTATTATGAGTTCCTTCCGAACAATGGAACATTGTTTTTTACTTTCTTCACTGTGGTAGTTTTAATCTAGGCCTTCCTTGGTGACCAGTTTGTAACCAAGGAAGTGGCCATATTCCCAGTATTCCATACAATTTTTGCTTAAATCAGGGTATAAATAAAAAGGGAGGAGAAGCCTTCTCTCTCTTCTTTTCTGGCAGGGTTCAGGGCAGTGGGTCCTTGCATTGGTCTCGTTTATCTAGAGGCTGAGCCCTGCAGCGACTGCTGGTCTGCCACGTGGGAGATTGGAGAGTGCTGGCCGTGTCTGATGATCTTGCTTTTCTGAGGGACGTGGTGAGATTTGTTTTGCTAGTTATTTTGCTAGTTCTTGGGTTTGATTGAGTATATCTGTTCTGTGTCCCTTTTTGTCCCTTTTTTTCCCTTTTTCCCCTTTCCCTTTCCTTTTGGGGGTTGTGTGAATTCCCTTTGCTGTGTACATAGCATTTTAATTGTACATAACTGTAATATACATAAAATATATATTTTTATATAACTAGCTTGATTTCAGGTTCTTCAATTTGCATCTTTTTTTTTTTTCTTTTGCCCTAAGGGAAGAAGGGAGGGGGAAAGAGGTTGCTACTGTGAGTTTGGGCATTTTGGCAGGGAGCCAGGTCCGAACCCTCACATTCAGTAATTTTGTTTATTGAGAATTATTCTAAATTATTGTTCTGTCAGCTGGGAGAAGGGTTGTCAGCAAAAGAGACACAACATATTGGTGTTGCATATCCAAATTCCCTTTTGCTGGGACTGTGGGTGGCACAGCACAACTCTGAATGTTCTTGGGCTCTTGCTGTTGGGGTTGGTAATAAGGGTAGATACAAAAGTAGATTGCTCTGCTGGGGCAAGGGAAATTTATTTAATCGCCTTTCCCAAAAGTTATTGCTTTTGGGAGTGGAGCCTGGGGGATGGTGGAGCCAGAAGCTTGCTTTATTCTTTGCTGATGGCATGAAGTTTTAAAACAGTCACATCTGAGCATAAAAAAAAATGCCCTGTGATCAGCATATTACTGCAGTTCTTGGACAGTGTAAATGGTAGTGGAAGCACACTGCTAGGACACCTCTAAAGCATATCCCCTGTGATATGCAGATAAATCCCATGGCATGGGAAAGCTGAAGGGAAGTGTCATTTGTGCATTTATTTTACCTTTTTCTTCTGTGCAATTCATTTGAGCTAGTGGAAGGAATGACTGCCCCAGCATCCCCTTCCAGCTGCGGATTTCTTACTCCCAAAGGCCTCTCCGAATGTGAGGGAGCAATGCAGCAGGAGGTGCTAATGAGAACTGTGATTAACAGTAAAGATACAGGAGAAATCCTCTCTTTACTGGGGATTCAAAGACCCTATTTCAGTTATAGTTCCTGTCACCATTAAGTCCAGGATTACCCTCCTCGGATATTGCCTAGAAGTAAAGCAGTAGTATTTTTAACAGGAAAGCATATTATGTGCAGCTGCATGGAAGCTGCAAGAGAATTGGTTAGTCAGACTCACCTCTATCTGCTGTAGCTGCTTCTGCTCTTGGAGGAAGTGAGGATTCAGAGATCACGTGGCAGAGCTGTGCAATGGAGAAGGGCTTTTGAAAGCAGCCAAGTTTACCTTTCAGGAGGAGAGACCCTGAGTGGAACTTAAAGGTTAAAGATTCTGCATAGTTTGACATTATTTAGGAAAGGTAGCTGGTTTCATCAACAGCTCCCAGACCCTTGAACAAAGTTTTAAGGGAAGGAAGGCACTTCACTCGAAAGATCCAGTAGCAGGAGAGCTGCACATATTGAGATGTGAGCAGTACCCTGCAAGAGGTGCATCTCCTAGCAAAATGCAATACCTGGATTTGAGTATAATTCTGAGAGGAGAAAATTGTAATTTTTAATAGGATGGGAGACAGTTTCCTGACAAATTTACGTAGGGAAAAATAATGTACTGCAGAGAGAAAAAAAATAAATGTGTGCTGTGTAAGGCTTGGCTAAAGGGAGTCCACTGTAGGAAGAGAAAACTGAAGTGGTACTTAATCCATTACTAAAATGTGTCTTCCATATCTTCATATATTGCTTTCTTCTTCTTGACATCCCCGGTATTTGCACTGAACACGCTTGTGATGCTCAAAGCAAGACCTGAGCCTACCAAGGTTGTAGGATGGGAATTCCAAAAGGTTAGGCGGATGGGAAGAGACATTTTTTTCTGCTGCTGTGGCAAAGCT